TTTTATTTTAATAAAAGGTGGTGAATGTATTTATCTTACTGTAAATAACAAGTGAAAAAATGTTCAGCCTTATCAGTTGGACATTCCGGTTTTTATACTGTTTTTTTTTTAATTCACGAATGCTCTAAAAGAATCAAAGTTGGCGGATTTTGGTTCGTGACATCCTTTACGATCGGTTACGATGCCTACAGTACGGAGACCTGTACGATTTCGTCAACTTAGTGAGTTTCATAGGGGCCGTATAGTGGGAGTTCGGGAAGCTGGACTTTCTTTTCGGGCAATTGCAGTTAGAGTGCAAATAAGTGTAAACACCGTTTCTCCACTACCAGGTCCATTGCAAATGAATGGTTTGCAGAACACGGAAGACCTATTGGCATGCGAAGTGTTTACCGACGACTGAGAAGTTTTGGCTTGTTTTCATACCGGCCACACTGGGTCCTCCCTTTAACTAAAGAACACCGACGTAATCGCCTTGAGTGGTGCAGACAACGGTCACTCTGGGATCAGGAATGGAACAGTATTGTCTTTAGTGACGAGTCTCGATTTTGTTTAGGCATGCACGATGGTCGTGCCAGGGTTAGAAGGCGACGTGGTGAAAGGAGGAATCCACAGTTTTTTGTTGAAAGACATGTTCATCACACTGTTGGAGTTATGGTTTGGGGTGCTATAGCTTATGGTTCCAGGTCACCTTTAATCTTCATTCAGGTAACATGAACGCTCAGCGTTATATATCCACGAAGTTCTAGAACCCCATCTTTTACCCTATCTTGACACCCTGGCAGATCCAACTTTCCAACAAGATAATGCCCGACCACATGTTGCAAGAGTCACAATAGACTTCTTTCAACATAATGATGTCACATTGTTACCATGGCCACCAAGATCTCCCGACTCATCCCCAATATGATGGGTAGGAGATTGCTCAATTTGCAACGTCCTCCTCAGACTCTAGAAGCACTTCGAGAGGAGTTGGTGGTTGCCTGGAATGAGATACCACAGGAGGACATTGACCACCTGATCAGAAGCATGCCTAGACGCGTTGGAGAATGCGTAGCACATCAGGGTGCATCCACACATTATTAAAGGTCAAAGGGCTTTAAAGCAGTGCAATCATTTTGAAATTAATTTTTATCATTTACTTATTATGCTTCATTAATACTTATACAAAATTTTATTGAAATAAAACCATTTAAACTGGGTGTTCGGATTTATATGTCACTTTTTTTTTTTTGAAATGCTGTATCGCAGTAAAAATGTACATATAGGGGTCTAAGAGAATCATTATGAAACTTGTGGCCTGTTTTTGGATCTTCTAGTCAAAAAAATGTTAGATGCACTCCTACAAGACTGTGTAACAACATGCACTTATTTAGATGCACGGCTTTAACGGCATCTTTCTCGCTAAACCATCGCATGGACTCAATAGCCCGTTAATTCAGCTTCAATCTGCTTTTTTCAAAATCTCGATTCGACCATTTGTTGCTGAGATATCTAATTTTTAATGAAAAAAAGACTCTTTTGGCTTTGATCGATATCTCAGGAACCAATAATCGCACAGAAAAGAGTTGTTTCAGAAGCTGGAATGGATTCTCTAGAAAAATCAATAATCACTCATGAAAAAATGTCTTCATCCTAGACATGGGTTGGAAAAACAGGTAAAAATGGATAATTTATGAATTTTTTGAGAATGAAGGTTTACATTATAAGTATTGACAAAATGATTAGTTGAGCGTGATTTTCACAGCTCCATACCCAGACTGTTTTGTTTTGAACAATGAAGGGCTCGGAAAAAATTAAACCATGACGGTTATTGCTGCCATAATGGAAAACGCTTTTTTTGAGATTATCATCAATTTGGCCCAAAAGAAATTGCACTCGCATTTAAAGAAAATAATCTATAAAATAATAAATGTTAACGCTTTTTGTATGAAAAAATGTATAAAAAGTTAAAAAAGCAATAAACGTGTCCAAGTTTTTTCGAAATTTTCATGTTGGAAACAAAAACCGTCCAGATATAAAGTGAAATAGTTGTAAAAGTCAGTCCCCTGGTTTTATTAAAAAAAAGTTTTTTTTTCAGCCAGGATCCTACCTTTTCATAAACCATTGAAATCACCTTCAAATTTTCTCTACGATGATTGGTTCCGGTGATACCGACATTCAAAGCAAAAAAGGTATACTTTATCTGAAGTCACTTGAAATACTGTGAAATACCGGGTGCGTTTTATAAATCTATATTTAACACGCTCTGTTGCTGCAAAAATCGCCAAATTTCGCAGCAAATATCCCCCCGTATAAGATCAAAGGCAGTTTCACCGGTCCACGAGGAGTAAAGCACGCCTATGCGTGGACATAGCCAATGAGAAAGCGTGTATTTCAGAGCTCCGAACAAGTGCAGGTGGCTACTGAAAATTGAAACAGTTTAGCCAGTGCCGTGTAGCGGTGAATAAACGTGTTTTCTTTAGTCTGTCCGTGTTTTTTCATAGATTTTATTAGTTTGTGTGTTTTTGACTTTTGAATACTCAGTTTACTTGTTGATTTAATTGTTGTGTTGATTGTTCTTGTGTGTCCTAAATATGGCTCTTTGGAGACCTTGGGAAAATGCTCCAAGCCACGAGGAGATGGTTGATGAACCTGTGCAGGCAGAATTCTTTCATAAAGATTTAGAGAAACAGACCCAAAGAGTAATCCTAAATATGTATGATTGTCTGAAAAACGAAAATCCAGATTCCTCGCAAAATCAAATTTTAAACAGAATTTGTATCCTGACAAAAATCAGTCGGTCTACCATTTATCGGGTTATAAAAAGGGGAGATGTAGTCAACCATTCCTTCCACAGAAAGCGCATAGGGCAAAAATTAAAAAGAATAGACGTGGGTTTTCAGGAAGATATTCGTCGTATAACATACGGATTTTATAAAGAAAATTTGGTGCCCACGTTGGAAATGATACGGGATAAATTAAAAGATTATCCTGAAGATTTTTATAATTACAAATGCTTAGACTCACTGCGCTGTATTGTAAAACTGTGTGGTTTTCAATGAAAATGGATTTATACCTAATGCCTTGCTGTTATCTGCCAAAATTATCAAAGAATCATGTGCCGACTATCATGAGGACATGACCTCCGACTTATTTGAAAAGTGGATAGAGCCGCAGTTAATACCAAACATTTCCCCAAATTCAGTGATTATTATGGACAATGCGCCATACCATTCCCGGCAGTAAAACAAAATTCCGAATACAGGCACAAAAAACAAGACATTATTGATTTTATGAAGGATAAGGGAATGGAAATACCACAAAAATCAACCAAAGCCATATTATTGGATCTTATTAAAAGACAAAAATTTGAAAAAGAGTATGTTGTTGACAATCTGCTTCAGCAAAATGGCCATGAAATATTACGTCTACCTCCCTATTACTGCGTTTTTAACCCGATTGAGTTGGTCTGGGTTGCTTTAAAAAAAAAAAGTAACAAAACATAATCAGACCCTTCAATTAAGTGAATCGCTATTGGCCACAATAAGAGATGCAGTATCTCATATTGCTGCCACAGACCTATGGAAGCAGTGTTCTAGGCATATTATTGAAAAAGAAAATGAATATTGTGTTTTGCCACCTGTAAATCCCGTTGTAATTCCTCTACAAGATGACTCTAGCGACAGCTCCGAAGCCGAGGATGATATATAAATACCTATAATGTAAGTCTTTATATACCTTTTTATATACCTACCTGCTATGTAAATATTTGTCAAACGTTGGAATTCTGTAATTTTTCCTTTTCTTAACTTTCAGTCAACATAAATTAAACTCCCAATATAAGTATTTTTTATCCCAAATCAAAAAATAAGAAGATAGTAAAATCCATTTATTGTGATATAAAAACATTATTATTATCGTTCTAAATAAATGACCGCACGCCTATAATACGTCATGAAATTACAAAGGACGCGCCGACCAAAGGTTTTTATGCTATTTCAAGTGACTTCAGATAAAGTATACTTTAGTTTTCCAAGTCTGTACACTTGAATAAAAAAATTGCAATGTTTTTATTCACACTACTTCCTAAGATTGCGTGGAACCCGCAATTTCAATATTTTTCTACCTACCAGATCCAAAAACTAGACATTTAAAGCTTTAAAAAGCACTTCAAGGAAACACTGAAAATTTATAATTTTTATTTGATTTCTTGCTATTAGCGTATTTTTGCACCTTGCCATAACAATAAGTTATTCACTCTGCTTTTAACGATAATAAATAATACTTTTATTTTTGTGAATAGCTTCGCCTAATGTACAAACAGAATTTCCGAGTTTCAAGATAAAAAACACTAATTTGTAATAAATTAATGCGTCGGATTATGCTAAAACGCTGATGCATTTTACTAGAAAAAACGTAATTTACCTGGGTCATCACTTTAGTGATGATTCCATGCAGACTTTCGATCACGTTATTTATAATACGCCTTATAAAATATTCTGGGCATTAAGATAAAGTAATGTGTTAAAGTTGCACGTCTAATCGGCTTTATTTTGTCAACAGACACATCGCTATTAGATTAAATATGTATGACTAGAGATACTTTAAAAGGATGTTTATAGTTAGGTGGTGAGTCAGTAGTTTTGTTAGATGTGATCAGCAATAATTTATTGCTTTTCGCTTTATCATTAATGAATTCGTGTTGCCGATATGCGTTCCTCGATAAAACAAGGTTACTTCATTGCGTGAGGTTAGAACAACCAAAATTAGAATAGTTTAACATAGAGAAGGATAAAAATATTGTCTCTGTGAAAAAACGCTCATTGGCTTTTGAGGATGATGTGATTGAAATTGGAAAAAATTACAACGACAAAATCCAGACTTACAAGCGTCAAATACAAAATATAGAGCAACACCTAGCATATTTATCCTCAAAAAACAGTACACTTCAGGAACTGACAACCTCACTTCTGATGGAAGAACCTCCACTTGCGAATGATATTAGAGCTACAAGTTTCCAAATGAAGACAAACGATATGTGTAAAAGCCAGCCGATAGAACATGAATTCGACGAACATCAAACAGCGTCGACTTTTGCCCACTGTGCATCTATCGTTTCCCCCATACCCCAGTTAGACGGCGAAGTAGCAGCAGAAGCTGCAAGACAAACTCCCAAAGAATTCGATGATGCACCAATAATCGATATAGTACCATCAGGTGGATCACAGAAACGTAATGCCTCAGACAAATCATTATAATTGGTGACGAATATGCAAAAAGTTTCAGAAAAGTGTTAGAATTATACACCGACATGACAAAGTTCTCCATAAAAGCTCACGTTTATCCCAATTTAGAGTTTGTAGATATCACAAAAAACGTATTTCACAAAATCTCTTGGTGAGAACGATTTTGTAATCTTCATGATCAACTCTAACAATATAAGTAACACCCCATCCTTAAACAAAGGTTTACATTGCTCGGTCGAGTAACCAATTTTATTTTTTTATGCGAATTGACCACATCTGTCGACTATCATCTTAGAAATATAATTAATACTAAAGTCGATAGACACAGGAAACTAAATAGAAACTATTCTTTGAGCCTATTCTATGACATCAGAGCTACGGGATCAAAAATGACAATCATCCAGCATGTAAAGGATATTATTTTTGAACAACTAAAAAATGTATTGCCTTTGAAAACTGTACAAATCAACATCCCCGACAAGTCTGAAAAATAGTTTTTTCTTAAGTAAAGCACTCATTAGGGAAGATAAACAACAGAATAATACAATACCAAAACCACGATCTGTTAAAACAGTAAAAAACAGTAACGTGCTCTTTAGACTACTACATCTAAATATCCAAGGTGTTCGCTGTAAGTCAGGAATGAACACTGGTTAAGAAAAGATGCGTTATCCTATTATCATATCTCTGGTTTTAGATCTGTATCTAGTTTCTGTAGGGATGTGAAAATTCGTGGTGGTGTGGCTATTTATGTAACAAATCATGTTAATGCCGTACCTCTATCAGATAACCTTCTGAATCTGTCAGAAGAACTACACTTTGAGGCGGCCGGAGTAAATGTGAATGATTTTCAGTTAATCTCACTGTATCGATCTCCTGATGGTAATTTTGAATACTTTATTATGAAACTTTGTCGTTTATTGGATGGACTCGATTACCGCAAGCAAATAGTGATAACAGGAGATTCTAATGTTAGATTTAATACGTTACAACACCAAGCTCAGGAGCTTGTGAACTTATTTAGTTGTTATGGTTTCATGCCAATAGTTAGTCAAAATACAAGAAACTCAAGTTGTCTAGATAACATCTTCATAAACTACGTAATGTTTTTGATACTCATTATTCAGATCATTTAGCGCTTGACTATACTTTTAATTTATCACATGCACCGAAAGTACGTAGGAAACTCTATTATAGACCTATAACAAACAGCGGCCTTTTCAAACTTTACAATGATATGGAATCAACATCTTTCGAATTTGTTAATGAAAAAAGTACGACATTTGAATATAAAATTGAAAAATTCATATCCATTGTCAGAATTTCGGTCAATCAACATCTTCCTATAAAATCGCGACTTGTTAGTGATAATAAAAGCTCCTGTAATGTGTATTGGTTCAATGATCATATAAGAAATATGAGAGAGACTTTGACTTTCCTAACAGAGCTTCATAAAGACGATGTTACATTAGTTAGTACGGACTGCTTGAAACAATTTAAATACAGTTACAGACAAGAAATTGTCAAAGCTAAGATTAAAGCCGATGATGACTACATTAATAAATCCAACAACAGACAACATGCTGCTTGGAATATCATAAAGAATGTTAAACCGAACGCACACAACCAGGACTCCTCAACATCTCTCACAGCACATCAATTTAACGACTTTTTTACCCATATCGCACAAAAACTTTCAAATAAAATTACCCCATCGGATGTTTCTCCATCGCATTATATGAATTATCCTACTCATAGTTCACACTTTCGATTCAGGGAAGTTTCATATCATGATGTGAGAACTGCCATAAATAAACTAAAAAACTCAAAGAGTACTGACCCATATGGCTTTACCGTCAGGATTGTCAAAACCTTGCAAAATCTCATCATATATCCTCTAACCAAGTTATTCAATCAGTGTATAGAAAGTAATACTTTTCCGGATTTTTTCAAACTATCTAAAATTATACCCATTTTCAAACAAGGGGATACTGAAGAGTTATGCAACTATAGTCAACGCCAAACAAAGTGGCGTGCACGTCATCAAGGTGGGTGTGTTGAAAAATTTACATTGTTGCCAAACTTTTTGTAAAATAATAAAATTTATTATTTACATATCTAGGTTTATAAGCAATATTAACCTCAAATGAGAACACAAATAATAGTATAATAAAATTATAGATCTGTACTTGCATAATCATTAAGTATGACAATTATTGATCGGATGACACTATGAAACTACCATATTTAATTGATAGCTTAAAGGTACTGAATAAAAATCCAAATGGGGTCCTCCAAATTTTATGCATGGTATTTATTTTACAGAATTCATACAGAAAAATGCATTTTAAAATTAGGTAAGCTACTGGTGTAAGCTTTTTCTCTACAATAAAGTTAGTCGGAGTTTCTTTCTTCAGCGCTGTCTGAATCTGAATCTTCATCACTCTGAAAGTTGATTATTAAAGGTTCGATGTCTGGTCGATCAAAAATTCGTTCTCTTTCATACCATTTAAAAATTTCTTGCTCAGTATGTCGAACACTATTTTTCCACATGTCTGGGGTAACCGTTTGTAGAGCCTCGTTCCACATATCCAAACAGTCTTTTTCACTGTTACCATCTCTACCAATATGTCTGTTATAGTAACCTTCTGCTATGCCCCAAATTAACTCAATAGGGTTAAATATACAATGGTAAGGAGGCAGACGAAGAACTTTGTGCCCATGTTGTTCCGCCAATTCATCAATCACGTATATTTTAGGTGGTTTGTTTCTAAAAAAGCAGTTATTTTAAGAATAGGAATAAACAAAAGAAATATAAACTGTCGACCAAAATATATATAATTAAGAAGCATTATGTACCGAGCAACAATACTCAATAGCTCTGTTTTAAACATTGTGTTTAAAAATGGTATGTTTTGATTTGTCAACCAGTCTTGGATATTTTTTTTTGTCCATGCATTGTTGGGCACTTTGTTCAATATCATGCTGTGATAAGGGGCGTTATCCAGTATAATCATAGATGGACTCTCCAATTTTTCTAATAACTGATGTTGAAACCATTTCAAAAAATTGTCCTGGTTCATCTCTCCATGGTAATCGCTCAATTTTGTTTTCGAAGAAAATATCGCTTCACTACCCTCAATAAACCCATTTTCATTTCCAGCATGTAATATAATGTATCTAAAATATCTTAGTTTTAAATTTTATAGTGCAAATTGTGTAAAAGTACATACCTTTTACCATCTGTTTTAATAGCTTTCATGCTTTTTTGGTTTCCATTTTGCCAAGAGCGACCTATGGTCCCATTTTGAAATATCCAAGTTTCATCGAGGAAGACAAACTGGTATAAGGCCTCAACCTTGGCTTGATTGTATTGCCTTAGAAATTCCACCCTTTTCAAAGCTATACTTGGTAGTTCCATGAGCCCTCGTCGCGGATTGTCCTTAAGCCACTTAAATCCAAGATCTCTAAGCAACCGCCTTAAAGACGTGGCACTACCATCAAATAATGCCCTATCTCTTAATCGAGACCATAAAGTTAGTATCGTAACTTGTTCTTCTGAAACCATGTGTAATATGACATTATAATTTAGTTAACAAATTAATGCAAATTTCTGATAAGTTATTATAATAAGATCTTACTTTTGTGATACATATTATAGATCACTTCTCGAATGGCACTTGTATCCAATGTCGCTGTGTTGGTTACACGTTTGATATAACTCCGCTTTTTCTTGGGCGATTCTAAATTTGCATCACTTTTCACACCCTCGGAAATACGACTAACTGTCCTTAAACTAATTTTTAAAGCAGCAGCAACACGCTACAAAAAATGAAATAAAATTTCACTATTATTAATATACATTACATATAATTATTAGTAACCTACCTCTTGAACAGCATTTAAAGGCAACAAAGGCCCGTTGTTGTCCCTTTCTTGCTCAAAGTAGTGTATTAACGAGGCCACGAGTTCCTTACACCGACTATTTAACTGTTTGGGTATCTTTATATACTAAAATTGCCTTTATCTACTCGTAAAATGAATAATTTTGTTTTTAAACAAACAGTTGTTGATTTACAGTATGCGGGGCCAAAGGATTTATAAAGATTTGAAATGCCACAAATTGATTCAGTGTCACAATTAATACAAATGTCAGTTCCCAGTTTAAATAAGTTTCAAGGTGACAATGTGTCAACGCTGCGAAATCGGTTTAGTGCGTTTACATGTCGATAAGTGATTGGAGCGTTTGCAAAACATTTTATTTCGCATAATGCGTCTAAATTTATCAGAAAGCAACTTATGTGATATTTTAATAACAATGTTTATATGACTATTAACCATAATAAGAGAGTAATGACCATTTTACAATTTATATATCACATTAATATGAAACTGCAATAGAGCAATTGTTTGTGATAGAAACCTAGGCATTAGGTCGGGGAATTTTTATCGTGATGACGTGCACGCCACTTTGTTTGGCGTTGACTATACAGGCCCCTTTCCTTAATACCTATTTTTGCGAAAATTTTGGAATTATTGTTGAAAGATCAAATTAATGAATACTTTGAGGCTAATAATCTATTTTGCTCAACACAGTTTGGTTTTAGGAAAAATAGTTCCACCACATCAGCTATTAACAGTTTTATTCAGTTTGTGAACGAGACTTTTGAAAACAACCTATATGGCGCAGCATGTTTGTTGGACTTGTCCAAAGCTTTTGATTGTGTTCAACACGACATCCTGTTGGAAAAGCTCCCTTTTTATAACTTTCATGAAGCATCCACTGCAATGATTAAATCTTACTTGAGTGATCGACGCCAATTTGTATTCTTTAAAGGTTCATCATCCTCACAGTCAGTCGCTGCTCACGGGGTACCGCAAGGCTCTGTATTGGGACCTATTTTATTTTTAATTTACGTCAATGATATAACTAACTATCATATGGCAACGTTGCCCATAACCGGTGAAGTTGTGTTTACGAATCGTTCTGCAAATATTTTCCAAAATTAGTG